TACAATCAGCCCGTTCAGCTGATCTTCAATGTCACAGACCCTTACAATCAGCCAGTCCACAATGTCACAGATCCTTACAATCAGCCAGTTCAGCTGATCGACAATGTCACAGACCCTTACAAGGAGCCAGTTCAGCTGATCTACAATGTCACAGAACCTTACAAGGAGCCAGTCCAGCTGATCTACAATGGCACAGACCATTACAATCAACCAGTTGAGCTGATCTACAATGTCACAGACCCTTACAAGAAGCTAGTCCAGGTGATCTACAAGGTCACAGACCCTTACAATCAGCTAGTCCAGCTGATTTACAATGTCACAGACCCTTACAATCAGCCCGTTCAGCTGGTCTACAATGTCACAGACCCTTACAATCAGCCAGTTAAGCTGATCTACAATGTCACAGACCCTTACAATCAGAAAGTCCAGCTGATTTACAATGTCACAGACCCTTACAATCAGCCCGTTCAGCTGATCTACAATGACAGACCCTTACAATCAGCTAGTCCAGCTGATCTACAATGTCAGATCCTTACAATCAGCCAGTCCAGCTGATCTACACTGTCACAGATCATTACAAGGAGCCAGTCCAGCTGATCTACAATGGCACAGCCCCTTACAATCAGCCAGTTCAACTGATCTACAATGTCACAGACCCTTACAATCAGCCCGTTCAGCTGATCTACAATGTCACAGCCCCTTACAATCAGCCAGTTCAGCTGATACCCTTACAAGGAGCAATTCCAGCTGATCTACAATGGCACAGACCCTTACAATCAGCCAGTTCAACTGATCTACAATGTCACAGACCCTTACAAGGAGCAATACCAGCTGATCTACAATGTCACAGACCCTTACATTCAGCCAGTCCTGCTGATCTACAATGTCACAGACCCTTACAATCTACAATGTCACAGACCCTTACAAGGAGCAATTCCAGCTGATTTACAATGTCACAGACCCTTACAATCAGCCCGGTCAGCTGATCTACAATGTCACAGACCCTTACAAGAAGCTAGTCCAGCTGATCTACAATGGCACAGACCCTTACGATCAGCCAGTCCAGCTGATCTACAATGTCACAGATCATTACAAGGAGCCAACCCAGCTGATCTACAATGTCACAGACCCTTACAAGGAGCAATTCCAGCTGATCTACAATGTCACAGACCCTTACAATCAGCCCGTTCAGCTGATCTACAATGTCACAGACCCTTACAATCAGCCAATCCAGCTGATCTACAATGTCACAGATCGTTACAATCAGCCAATCCAGCTGATCTACAATGTCACACAGACCCTTACAAGAAGCTAGTCCAGCTGATCTACAATGTCACAGATCCTTACAATCAGCCAATCCAGCTGATCTACAATGTCACAGATCCTTACAAGGAGCCAGTCCAGCTGATCTACAATGTCACAGACCCTTACAATCAGCTAGTCCAGCTGATTTACAATGTCCAAGACCCTTACAATCAGCTATTTCAACTGATCTACAATGTCACAGACCCTTACAATCAGCCAGTCCAGCTGATCTACAATGTCACAGACCCTTACAAGGAGCCAGTCCAGCTGATCTACAATGTCACAGACCCTTACAAGGAGCCAGTCCCGCTGATCTACAATGTCACGGACCCTTACAATCAGCTAGTCCAGCTGATTTACAATGTCACAGACCCTTACAATCAGCTAGTCCAGCTGATTTACAATGTCACAGACCCTTACAATCAGCTATTTCAGCTGATCTACAATGTCACAGACCCTTACAATCAGCCAGTCCAGCTGATCTACAATGTCACAGACCCTTACAATCAGCCAGTCCAGCTGATCTACAATGTCACAGACCCTTACAATCAGCCAGTCCAGCTGATCTACAATGTCACAGACCCTTACAATCAGCCAGTCCAGCTGATCTACAATGTCACAGACCCTTACAATCAGCCAGTCCAGCTGATCTACAATGTCACAGACCCTTACAATCAGCCAGTCCAGCTGATCTACAATGTCACAGACCCTTACAATCAGCCAGTCCAGCTGATCTACAATGTCACAGACCCTTACAATCAGCCAGTCCAGCTGATCTACAATGTCACAGACCCTTACAATCAGCCAGTCCAGCTGATCTACAATGTCACAGACCCTTACAATCAGCCAGTCCAGCTGATCTACAATGTCACAGACCCTTACAATCAGCCAGTCCAGCTGATCTACAATGTCACAGACCCTTACAATCAGCCAGTCCAGCTGATCTACAATGTCACAGACCCTTACAATCAGCCAGTCCAGCTGATCTACAATGTCACAGACCCTTACAATCAGCCAGTCCAGCTGATCTACAATGTCACAGACCCTTACAATCAGCCAGTCCAGCTGATCTACAATGTCACAGACCCTTACAATCAGCCAGTCCAGCTGATCTACAATGTCACAGACCCTTACAATCAGCCAGTCCAGCTGATCTACAATGTCACAGACCCTTACAATCAGCCAGTCCAGCTGATCTACAATGTCACAGACCCTTACAATCAGCCAGTCCAGCTGATCTACAATGTCACAGACCCTTACAATCAGCCAGTCCAGCTGATCTACAATGTCACAGACCCTTACAATCAGCCAGTCCAGCTGATCTACAATGTCACAGACCCTTACAATCAGCCAGTCCAGCTGATCTACAATGTCACAGACCCTTACAATCAGCCAGTCCAGCTGATCTACAATGTCACAGACCCTTACAATCAGCCAGTCCAGCTGATCTACAATGTCACAGACCCTTACAATCAGCCAGTCCAGCTGATCTACAATGTCACAGACCCTTACAATCAGCCAGTCCAGCTGATCTACAATGTCACAGACCCTTACAATCAGCCAGTCCAGCTGATCTACAATGTCACAGACCCTTACAATCAGCCAGTCCAGCTGATCTACAATGTCACAGACCCTTACAATCAGCTAGTCCAGCTGATCTACAATGTCACAGACCCTTACAATCAGCCAGTCCAGCTGATCTTCAATGTCACAGACCCTTACAATCAGCTAGTCCAGCTGATCTACAATGTCACAGACCCTTACAATCAGCTAGTTCAGCTGATCTACAATGTCACAGACCCTTACAATCAGCCAGTCCAGCTGATCTAAAATGTCACATCTGTTAAAATTGGATTGATTTCGTTTCCCAGCGATCACACCTACTATGATCCTCCTACTAAGACCACATTTAGCTAGGCACATAGATTGAAGATTGTAAATGTTTTACTTTATTAATGTGATACCATCTTATCGACAACAGGGACATCAAACATTCCTGAATATGACAGAGACCACCCTGTTGACAGAGACCAACCTGTGACAGAGACCACCCTGTGACAGAGACCACCCTGTTGACAGAGACCACCTGTTGACAGAGACCACCTGTTGACAGAGATCACCTGTTGACAGAGACCACCCTGTGACAGAGACCACCTGTTGACAGAGACCACCCTGTTGACAGAGACCACCTGTTGACAGAGACCACCTGTTGACAGAGACCAACTGTTGACAGAGACCACCATGTGACAGAGACAACCTGTTGACAGAGACCACATGTTGACATAGACCACCCTGTGACAGAGACCAACCTGTGACAGAGACCCCCTGTTGACAGAGACCACCTGTTGACAGAGACCACCCTGTGACAGAGACCACCTGTTGACAGAGACCACCTGTTGACAGAAACTAGCTGTTGACAGAGACCACCATGTGACAGAGACAACCTGTTGACAGAGACCACATGTTGACATAGACCACCCTGTGACAGAGATCACCTGTTGACAGAGACCACCTGTTGACAGAGACCACCCTGTGATAGAGGCAACCTGTTGACAGAGACCACCTGTTGGCAGAGACCACCCTGTGACAGAGACCACCCTGTTGACAGAGACCACCCTGTGACAGAGACCACCCTGTGACAGAGATCACCTGTTGACAGAGACCACCCTGTGACAGAGACCACATGTTGACAGAGACCACCTGTTGACATAGACCACCCTGTGACAGAGATCACCTGTTGACAGAGACCACCCTGTGAAAGAGACCACCCTGTGACAGAGACCACCCTGTGACAGAGACCACCTGTGACAGAGACCACCAGTTGACAGAGACCACCCTGTGATAGAGGCCACCTGTTGACAGAGACCACCCTGTGACAGAGACCACCAGTTGACAGAGACCACCCTGTGATAGAGGCCACCTGTTGGCAGAGACCACCCTGTGACAGAGACCACCCTGTTGACAGAGACCACCCTGTGATAGAGACCACCTGTTGACAGAGACCACCCTATGACAGAGACCCCCTGTTGACTGAGACCACCCTGTGACAGAGATCACCTGTTGACAGAGACCACCTGTTGATAGAGACCACCCTGTGACAGAGACCACCCTGTGAAAGAGACCACCCTGTGACAGAGACCACCCTGTGACAGAGAACAGCCTGTGACAGAGACCACCTGTTGACATAGTCCACCTGTTGACAATGACCACCTGTTGACAGAGACCACCTGTTGACAGAGACCACCCTGTGACAGAGACCACCTGTCTAAACTCTAGATTAGGTCATTCAGTTGTTATACATTGGTGATATTTACCACTCCAGGTAAATTTGCCAAAATATTACTAATACCGTGATGAATTACCTTTCTGCCAGCAACTCATTGAATTCTTTTCACTTTTTAAAACCAGTATCTTTCATACTGTGGCAGATATAAAAGTGATACCTGTCACAGTGTGAAGATTTATATTTTACTATTGATCATTCAAAACGATACTTTCTATTCACTGCATTAAAGCCACAGATTTTCTGTTTAGATACAAATGAAGAGAAGATAAAACGGGTGGCAATGACACATCTTTGCTAGATACACTAAAGTACCTAATTAACAACGCTACATTTATTAATAGCAGTTTCATACGCAATCTTTATCAGGCAATAGCAGAAATAATTAGTACCAAACTAATAATGGTGCACCATGCACCACATCATTAGTACCAAACTAATAATGGTGCACCATGTAACACATCATTAGTACCAAACTAATAATGGTGCACCATGCAACACGTCATTAGTACCAAACTAATAATGGTGCACCATGTAACACATCATTAGTACCAAACTTATATTGGTGCACCATGCATGTAACACATCATTAGTACCAAACTAATAATGGTGCACCATGTAACACATCATTAGTACCAAGCTTATATTGGTGCACCATGTAACACATCATTAGTACCAAACTAATAATGGTGCACCATGTAACACATTATTAGTACCAAACTTATAATGGTGCACCATGTTACACATCATTAGTACCAAACTTATAATGGTGCACCATGTAACACATTATTAGTACCAAACTTATAAGGATGCACCATGTAACACATCATTAGTACCAAACTAATAATGGTGCACCACGCAACACATCATTAGTACCAAACTAATAATGGTGCACCATGCAATACATCATTAGTACCAAACTAATAATGGTGCACCATGTAAAACATCATTAGCACCAAACTAATAATGGTGCACCATGCAACACATCATTAGTACCAAACTAATAATTGTGCACCATGTAACACATCATTAGTACCAAACTTATAATGGTGCACCATGTAACACATCATTAGTACCAAACT